TCGCGGGTGGCAGGGGCCGCGCGATGGGCAGCGCCCCGGGTTCACCAGTTTTCCCTTTGGAGGTTGACAGTCAGCGCGAGCTGACGACCAGCAGGAACACGCCCCTGGCAAAGGTGGGTAGCCTTCTGGGCGCCAGGGTGTGTGTGTGTGTGTGTGTGTGTGTGTGTGTGTGTGTGTGGTGAGGGGCTGGGGAGAACAGAGGTGGCTCTACAGTGACCTCCTTCTTGTCCTTTCTCTAACTTACTTTTCTCCAAGGACGCCGTGAATGTAACCCTTCAAGTTCCACTTGCCAACTTTTGGACACCGTCTCTCCCCCCTCCCCCCAATCTACCCTCTTTCCTCTGAACTTCTTGTATGCACCTGCCTTCCTTCCATCCTCTCCCTTAGAATTCCTTTCTCACCATCTGCGCTTGCTCTGTGATGCCACGTGCTCCCAGGGAACCTTGTTACATGTTCATAGGAGTGCCAACATCCCATCCTCCCAAGGGGTGGGCAGGTCTTCTTGTCCCTGGGTCACCTCTATTCCCTCTGCTGGCTGGGGCTGTCCCCCCCTCCCACCCCCTCTAAAACTTTGCTCCCCTTCCATCTTTCCAGAAAAAGCCTTCTTTCCCTAGACGTCCAGACTATCCTTCTACACACCTCCACCTGCCTGGGTAAAGTTTGTGCTTAATGTTTTCCAGGTCCTGGTTCCTGGGAAGACTGGGCCTCCTGCCTGCTTGTCTGGCCAGGGAGGATTGGGCAGAGGGAAGTGTGTGACCAGGGTTGGTAGAACACAAAGTGCAAACTGTTTAACAGGAGGGAAGAGGTAATCCTGCAGATGGGAGGGGTGTTTGGCCCATCTTTTCTTGGACTCCCGTCTGTTGGAAGCCCTGGTCCTCTCCTGGCTCTTAGGCAGGGCTGCATTCCCAGGGTCTTGGAGGTTTTTTGTGTGTGCAGCTACATTGTACAGCACCCACTGCTTCTGTTTCAGTCAAAGGCCTTATCTTGAGGGTTTCAGTGATTTGGTTTCAAAGGCTACTTAGAATGTGTAATTTCACACCCTCTGCCACCTGGGGAACTGTTTGGGGGGGCGGGGTAGATAGCCCACGGATGTTGGTGTGAGAAACAAGGTAGTCACGTTTTATATTTTCTTTAAATGTAGAAAAGCCCACTTAAAGGAAAAAAAAATACATTCTCAATCTATTGCGATTATTCATTTTAAAGAACACAACCATATTCCTGTACTTTCGACCATTCAAGGAGTTGGTGGTGCATGAACTACTTAAATAATCCTTCTAATGTGTATAATATTGAGATGTGGGAAAATGCTACCACCTGAATCACTCAGTACTGCAGCATCTCTGAGGTGAGGAACTTAAACCCTGGGAGAGTGAGCTTTAGGGTTAAATGGCATACTTTGCTTTGCCATACTTTGCTCTGTGAATCAGGAAGAATGGATGGTCAGGAATTGTCAAGGCATATTTATACTTGGGATCACTACTGAAGAGGAATTAAGTTTTTCTTTTATTTTGATTGTGATTAAATCCAGTTACAAGTGTTGTTGCATATTTTCCAACATTTCCTCTCTGCCCTTGCTGTTGTTATCTAGGTATCATAATTAAAGGTCAGAGAAGTAAACAATATTTGGAGTGATGCTTCTAGTAAAACATTTTGATGACCATATGTTTAAGATATCCTCCCAGTTCATCTTAAGGGAATTGCCTTTGATCAGGAGGTTAGGAGGTAACCTCAGCTCTTTGAACTCTGTGGTGGCATTTGTAGAATTAAAAAAAAAATGTGTCAAGAAGCTGAACTTTTAGTAATGCCACTTAGGATCAGGAGGTTAATATTTTGTTGAGCGGATTTTGGGGTTATTGATTGACTTTATAGGCACATGTAGCTCTCAGTGTATGTTTATACTTCCTGAGCTCTAGGGAGCATTTGATCATATTTTTTTTCTTTTGTTTGTTGTGTTAACTAAGTGTGACCTCCAGTCCTTTCTTCTTTGCAGGCCCACCTCATAAGGATTAAGTATCTAGGAAGAGTCTGAATGAAATCTAATCTTATATTTGATCACCTTCAGAGAGGAAAAAGTAAAGTTTTTTACTCACCGATTTTTGACAATCAGTGGAAGTCTTCTTGGGCAAGCAGAAGTCCTGCATGGAGTGTTGTACATTAAGCAAGCCTATACACTTCACCGACTTTAGCTGAAAACTATTTCCAAATAGGCTTTCAGTACTTTACTCTCCATTGGAATTGCTCATAGCGAAGCTGAATGCTGGATGTTGCTGTGTTTCTTAATTAGATGAGCACTCATTATTCAGCAAATACTATATATGCCTCAGTAGCAGGTGACTAAATATAAGACAGTTCCCTATTTTCCCAATGAGAAGCCCCTCAAACCTTCTTTTGGACCAATTGACCAATTGGGATGTGTAAACTTTTTAGGTATGTAAATAAACAAATATCTGCTTAGATTATTAATTTAGTTACAGGTAGACATTGGGAAGGAATCATATATAAAATGTACTCATTCCTATTTGGTTCATGAAATAGTCCCATGTCCCCACCCCTTTCTTGCCCCCACCCCCGGCATCTTTTCTGGCATCTTTTTTATCAGGGTTTTGGTTATCAGAGTCAGATGGAATCCTGACCTGGTTAGCAGAGCCTCTCCCTTTCACCTGAGCCATCTGAGAGGAGGTTCATTTCCAATCAGTTAATTATGCAGCCCCTGGAAATTTTATACCAAGTTACAAGTACCCATTGCCTAAGGTCGGGACTGTTGGTCTCTTCATTTGCCTGTTTGCAATAGTTGTCATTACGTGTTACTTAATAAAGTAATCTTTAAAAAGTCCTGTTTGAACAGCACTAAGCATTGCAATTGCTAAAATATGAGCTATGTTTCTCAGCCAGTTTGTTTTTTGTTTTGTTTTTAGTTTTACAAGGTGACCCCTTTAACACCTTTAACCAGCATTGATGGAGAAGTTTATGGGCGACATGTCTTCCTAAATGGGTTTTGTGGGGTTCCAAATTGAGTAATTCAAGACTACTTCTTAACATCTATAATAATAAAAGTGTAATATGCTAATTAGACCGGATAGCCAAACGACCTTCTGGACCTCCTTCCTGATGAAGCTGGGGAGGGGGCGTTGCTGAGGCAGAGGTGGTTAGGGGCAATCAGGCAGGCAGATGAGCAATTAGGGGCGATCAGGCATGCAGACAGAGTGGTTAGGGGTGATCAGACAGGCAGGCAAGTGGTTGGGGTGATCAGGCAGGCAGGTAGAGTGGTTAGGGGTGATCAGGCAGGCAGGCAGAGTGGTTAGGGGTTGTCAGGCAGGCAGGCAGAGTGGTTAGGGGTGATCAGGCAGGCAGGCAGGCAAGCAGTTAGGAGCCAGCGGTCCCAGATTGTGAGAGGGCACAGGCTGAGCTGAGGGACCCCCCCGGAGTGCAAGAATTTCGTGCATCGGGCCTCTAGTTTAAAATAAAAAGGTCACCATAATCCTGTAAAGTAGGTGACAGTTACTACTTGCAGACCCTTAGGAATTGATATAGGGACAAAGTGACAGAGAGCCAGGAAGTGATGGGTCAGGAGGTGTTCTCAGGCTCTGTCCTTGCCCTTTCTCTTCTGCTTGGCTGTCTGGTGTTGGGCTATGTTTGGTCTTGGATGCAATGAGGACTCTAGAGTAAGAGGCCCAGTGCCTGGAAGCCTTCACCAAAAGCCAGACAACTCACAGGATGACAGACAGCTGGCTGACTGTGGTCATTGTGATTACAAGAGGCACACACCAGCCTTTGGAGACATGACAGATGAGTCACAGCAAAGTCCCTCATAGTCTTGTTTTCAAAAGGCCCCTGGGGGTGGAAACAGCACCTCTGACACACTAGTGTTGTGTTTCAACTTGTGACAGTTAGTGAATAATCTAACTGAGTGCCTCCTATGGGCCAGGTATTCACGGGGTGCCTGCTGTGTGCCAGTGGTTGAGTATATCTCATTTAAGTAAGTGTATCTCATCCATTTTTTAGCTCATCCAGTAGCTAGTCACATTGGTGGGGAAGCTGAGGCCCTCAGGGTTTCCTCCTCAGGGGCAAACAGTTACTAAGGATACATTTGAAAGAGACTTCAGATTGACTGGCTAACTGGATTTGTGGTTAGAGTCCTCCTCTCAGTCTATACCACAGTTAATTAGAGACCAAGTTCCCAAACTTAAGCAGCACCAACCCCCATGGATACAGTCTGCCCCAGGGCTGCAGATGCTCTTCCGGTGGGAGGCTGCCATCTTACAAACCCAGGCTGCGAGCCTCAGGTCCCAAGGAAGGAGCATCATACCAGTTATGGCTCTGAGCGCAAGTCACAGGCAGCCCTGTGCAGGTGATGTGAGCCACCCGTGTGGGTGGCAGTGGGCAGGTGGCTTGTCAGGTAGTGCCATCTGTCCTTAGGAATGCATACTCATCCATCCTTCTGCTCTGCCACCATGTGGGTCTCACCCTTAGCCACACTCACTGGGTCTTGAGATAGATGTAGTGGTTCAGGCATCATGTCCTCAAGACAACAGCACCAGCAGGGAAAGGAGGGTTGCTTTCCCTGGTGTTCACTCTCCAAGTTGGTGGCCACCCTCACACACTTCCTCTCACACCTCAGAGGTCAGGGTCACATCCCAGGCTGGTGCCAGGATGAGCAGCAGCTCGGCCAGGGACTTGGGACACAGGGTGGGCCTCCCTCATGCATGTGGCTGCAGGCAGGGAAGGTCCCTGGCTTCGCAGGTCCCTGTGATGAAGGAAGGCAAGGGGTGGGACTTGGTGGGTGGCCAAAGTGGCACAGGGGTTGGGAGTCCCAGCACAGGTAGTTTCAGTCTGGAGTTCCGCACTTCCTCATCACGTGCCCTGGGCAAAGGGTTTAGCTGTTCTGAGCCTTATCAGAGAGCTAGAGACCCCTCCTGCTTCACTGGATGAGGAGGTAATGTACATGCAGTGCCCAGCACACATGAGCAGCCGCCATCTCAGTGCTGTAATGATACAGAAATCTGGAATTCTCGTATCACCAATGAAGCACACTTCACAGGGCCCACCTTCCTGCTAGTGGGTTCATTTATATGGTATCCTAGCAGAAGGGTGTGTGTGTGTGTGTGTGTGAGTG